GTGAGTGATAATATATACAGTTATGCATTCTTCAGAATACACGTGAGTGATAATATATATACAATTTCAACCCAACAGTTGGTTTCCTGGCGCAAACCTGGCTTTTAACCATAGTCCACAAATTTTCAATAGCAGGTCAGTGAGCATCGTTGCTTCCCTAAAAGCTAGTGATAAAACCGAAAAAAAGACTGAATACAGACATGGATGTTCATCAGTAATTATCAGAAGACAATTGACTTTAGGAAGAAGACATTATTTGTACGGGACAGGCTCTCCGTTTCAGTCGTATATTCGGATTTCCCCTAGTTAACACTGTAGTTAGAATTATAAAATTTACAGGAGATATTACATGCTTAGCATGACAGCATAATATTGGAGCTAATTGTGGGAATGTAACGGTCAATGCCAGATAGTTGGCAGCCCTGTACCTTGTTACACTGTAAAACTTGCCGCAATAGGTGTCTAGAGGGCGCTGTTACTCTCCCTGCAAAATCTTTGCAATACAGTGGTACCTCAGAACTAGAACTTAATCCGTTCAGAACTCTGGATCGAATCCTAAAAAGTTCGAGCTCTAATCGAATTTTCCCCATAAGGAATAATGGAAAACCGATTAATTGGTTCCCGGCCCCCCAAAAAATTACACCTAAATATGTTTTTTTATTTTAGCATTTAACCCTCAATGGTTCCTTGGGGTGCGTTCTGCACCCCCTGCCCATTTCTATGGCTACTACCATGTTGTTATTAATAACAAAATGAACGGGATAAAACAAGAAAAGCATATACTGTACTAAACACATCTACGTACATTTATCAAAACAGTAATTTGTAAAGTAAGAAAATAACTGTATCCAAACAATGTGTAAAGTTAAAAAAAACAAAAAAAACAATGTGTCCTGCCCCGATTGTCCGCTCCTTCTGTGTGCCACGCCCCCTCCTTAACCCCGTGTCGAATCTCCATGTGATCAGCTGTTTCTGGTTGTTGTCATTAGTCCTCTGTATTTCCTCCGCGTTTCAGTTTGTTTCCCTAGTCTGGTCATTGTATTGTCCGTATACGTTTTGCCTGCCTTATCTGTAATTTAACCCCGTACTCCCCGATACCCTGACGTCTGCCCCTTTGTCTCCGTTCTGTCCCCGCACTACAAAATTATTATAATTAAATGCATTAATGGTTTATTATTGATATTAAAATAATGAATAAGAAATCTTTATTTTTAAATGTATTTTATTATATAATAATAATTACTGTTACTGTCTATTATTGTCTAAATGTATTTTTACTATCAAAATATATGTATTCAGCTAGTGTAAACATGCATGCTATGGCAGGCTGAGACTGAAGCTTTACATTTTGTTTCAGCTGAGAGACTTGCTGCGTGACTCATTTCCCTGCGCATACAAGTTATCTTAGGTCGGCGTTCACGGTTTGACTTCTGAGATTCAGATCGAGCTCTAGGTAATTTTTTTTCTAACTGGTTGGTTCGACTTTTAAGAAATTCGAGTTCTAATGAGTTCGAGAACTGAGGTACCACTGTATATATATGCCCCAAAATTCAGTTGCATTTATTTTTAGATTTTACTATACATTCTACAACCCCTGGCAAAAAAAAACATGGAATCACTACTCTTGGATAATGTTCGGTCAGTTGTTTTACTTTGTAGTCCAAAAAACAAATCACAGATATGACACAAACCTATTTTACCTAACAGCTGAACATTCTGGCTTTGTAAAACATACCTCCAAAAAAATGACATTGTCAAATCACATGACACTTTGTACAGACGCTCCTCTGCTTACGAATTTTCAACTTATGAACTTTCAGACATACGAACGAAGAGGACTGTAAGTCCAAATTGTGTTCATTGGGCTCCCGTTTCCTGTCCGCAACATCAATTTTTTTTTTCTGTGCGCAGCAGCGTAGCGTGCGGACTCCCGGCATCCTAGTTCTTTGTAGTTGCCTATACCCTTAATGTTGGATAACGACTTAAAAACATTTCAAGTTACGAACGGCCGTTCGGAACGTATCTCATTCGTAAGTAGAGGAGTGTCTGTACAACTGAGTGAGAAACTTGTGCACAAGTTCGCAAAAGCAGTGACAAAATATATAGTCATCATGTACAGGTCCATCCATCCATCCATTATCCAACCCGCTTATCCTACTGTCACACCCTGCTCCGTATGATCCTAATGTGTGCCACGCCCACCTCGTTACCCCGTGTTCAGCCCTGATTGTGATCGCCTGTGTCCTATTAAGTCTAGCTTGTCTTGTGTATTTAGTCCTCGTCTGAGTCAGTCTTCCCCAGACTTGTCATTGTAATGTTGCCTGTTGTGATTCCCCGGTCCCGTCTTCCTCGAATAAACCCCGTCCAACCCGACTTCCTGGCTCCGTTCCCCTGCTTCCCTGCTCGCCTCTCCGCAACCGTGACACCTACTGGGTTGCGGGGGGTCCGGAGCCTATCCCGGAAGCAATGGGCACAAGGCAGGGAACAACCCTGGACAGGGGGCCAGCCCATCGCAGGGCAATCATCTACAGGTCCTTGGTTGAAATCCCTTGCTTAGGGGGTGCAAAGCCATCTGTTTTCCTATACGAGTCACAAGTGTTTAGGTGTCGTAACAACCGTGTATTTCCCTGACTACTCATCTGTACAAGCATGTGGTATTATGTGTGTCATAAGATATAGTTACAGGAAATGTTTATGGAGCGCTTGTGGCAGGTGAAATGGCCAAGGCTGGTTTATGAATACCTGTGACTCAGGCTCAGACTCACCCATGCACCTCATTTCTCAACAAGCCTGGATGGACCATGGGAGATATGTCAGGAAAATGCAATTTTCACAGAAACGGTCAATCTGTTTGTTTCCTTGCTGTCAGATTGAGCTTTATGTCTGGCACATCATGTAAAAATCGTGTAAAAATGGAAACCCTGCCCCCTCGAGTTGCGGCCACGCACCAGTATGCACACCACTGCTCTGCTTTTCCCATAATAACTCCTCTGATGCTCAACCATCAGATCTGTCTCAAACAAATCAGTGTTTTTCTTGCATCTGGAATAATATAGTGCTGAGTCTTATCACTTAAAGCCTTGAGTGCATTTGTGTTAAATTCCATAGTGTTACTCTACAGTCAAGTTCCATCCATTTTGTCATGTGAGGGCAGAACAGAGGACACAGGAGCAGGCATGAGGATTTAAAAAAGGGGGTTTTATGAACTAAACCAGAACAGACAAACAAAAAGCATCATAGGGGGTCAAGAGGGGAGAAGAGCACACGAATAACAGGATTACACAACTCCAATGACACAACTGGCAATCACAAGCCTAAGAAGCACTTAAATAATGAAACAACAAGGGGGTTCATCGAGAGGCAGCTGCTGTAGATCACAAAAGGGCAGGAACGAGCGGTAAGGCTAACGAGGGACAGGTGTGGGAGGAGACAGGCGGATCGGGCAGAGCAGGATATGACACATTTTCTGTACCCACTTATGATATTCAGGGTTGTGGGGGTCTGCAATGCAGAGAATAACCCCGGATGGGGTGCCAAGCCATCACAGGGCACACTCCCTCACTAGCCACATACAATTCCCACCTACAGGCAGTTTGGCAGCTACAATTAACAATTAAAAGGTTTTACTTTTTAATTTATCCACAGTGGGGAAACATTTCATCCCTGATCTTCCCTTATGTTTAATACTCCTTGTGACTTCGGTAACCCAAATGGCAGGACGGTCAGAAGAAGGACAGTTTGGGGTTTAAGCCTCAAATGTGATGGGTTTGACGTTTTAAACACAGAGAAATGAAACATGGTATTCATTTCCCAGTGGCTGTCATGTCTGTGTTAATACAATACCATCATCCTGACCGGATGAGTGAAGTGATACTGAATATCAATGGCAAATTCTTCACTCCAGCATCCCCATCTAAGATGGGATGACAGCTTATTATGACCGTGGGCATCGTTTTGCCCCCCGACCCCTTTCAATCGTCCCAGCTGCAGGGTGCCGCCCCTCTTATCGCCACAAAGCAGGGCATGGTGGATATGCACCCTGACTGTTGCTGTTAAAGCCAAGCCTCCAGCGGAGACGGTAGCCTAGCAACCGACTGAAAATAGGATAATTACTAAGCATACAGTTCAATTAATGGATACTGATACCCGCCCCTGGTTTAAAGAGGTTCAACAATATAATTCCTTCTAGATAAGATAAGCTGGTGTATGTATGCTTCTGCAATGCTCTGTAGGCCTAATTAAAATAACTCATATCTGACCACCAAGTACAATCCTATGTCCAGGTCTATATTTATTGCGATTCACCATAAAAACATCATGAGGTTAAGAAGAATCCACATTATTAATTTCTTTGCATTTGACAAAGAATAAAACCAAGCTGATTTATTAATAAAACTGCATAAATTACATGGGCAATAGATTTATAGGATAGGAACTCTGATAAATAAACAGGAATAAAGCGATTAAAAAACGTATCAAGCAGATGCACTCCAGGCAGCCCGAGAACCAATCTCATTAAAAAGCTTTATTACTGTCGCTTTCATAACCACCACGCAGGCTGCTTTTAGGGGGCTACCATGTCCGCTTATTCCCCACGCCTAAACGTGTCATCCTGTCCTTATACTCAAAAATGACATTGGACCGCAGGTGGTACCAACCAAATTACGTTAGAATCCTCAAAACAGGGATCACCAACAGGTCTCCACCGTGGTGAATTGAAGCAGGGAAATAGAGTGTTGCAAAGGAACGTTCAATAGCTAACTGGTTGGGAAAAATTACCATCGAAAATGTGTAATGCACGAAAAAAATTCGTCATATAATACATAATATAATATGTCCGTTAAAACAATAAATAATATACTCTTGAACCATCAACTTTTACCTTAATAAACTCATAATACAAACCACTAGGATCTTGTGTGTCTGACCCATAAAGAATGCTTAAGGGAACTGAGAGTCATGTGCATTGTGCACATTACTTTAAACGTACATCGGTGCGATTTTACTGCGGTTATTGCACATGCAGGCGGCAAAGCCGGCTTTCGCACCGGGCCGATCCGCTGCCGTTACATCACCGTTAAACAGCGCTGCCCCGCTCCGGAGTCCGCAGAAGCGCCCCTCGCAGCATCAAATCAGCTGCGTCATCCCTGGACCGCTGGCACAGGATTAACACGTTCAATCGGCTTCATTAAGGGCTCCACGTCGCCGTCGTGCCCTCCTCGCTTTACCTTTGCCTTTCATTGCCAAGGTAAGTCTTTTGATCGAAGGGTTATATATGATTTATGTGGCCCGTGTGGTGCCTCCTCATTGACTGCAACTATGCTGCGACTACCGAGCGATTTATCGAATGCATTGTATATAGCTGAAAAAAATAATATATTGTACTGCTAGGTGAGACCAAATTCAATATCAGAACAAAAAACATTAACGACGCGCGTATCGTCGTATTATTAGGCTAAACCTTGGTTAGAGATGACTGTACCCCCGGCGTGTGTGATGTGCATAGCAATCGGATGGATAATATGCAGTCGAAATGTTTCACCCTTTCATTTTCCTATATATGAGTGAAATATAATAAACGATTCCAGTTATTCACGTGTGAGAGGACCGCATGCTCGCTATCTGTGGACGTGCCGCACGCCCCCGTTCTGCTTAAAGCCCATTTACCATTTTTTTTTTGTTTCTCTAACAGTTTGGGAAATAATTTCAGACAGAAAATGGTGAAACTGGGAAACAATTTTTGCGAAAAAAATAATGCGAAACCCGTCTCGGAAGACGGATTCGACACCATTCCTCTCATAACACCTCTGGACGTCAATCAACTGCAATTTCCTCCGCCCAACAAGGTAAGATGTATTATTTTAATTAAAACTCAGTAAATATTGCGGAAGGTTGCCGTAGCATACCGTATTGCACTCAATTTGGATTAAGACATTGGCACTGGTATAGTAAATTTCCGAATGCTGCATGATGTGTTCACGTTTAAACCTGGATGGTGGTGTTTTTTTCTTATGATTTCCGCGATTCCTGTATTTGATTTGGTTTCGAGTCGTTAGGACTTGATATCTGCATCTGTCTTAAGTAATTCCCCACTCAGCAGTTAGATATAAAAAGCTGTAGCCTACCCGGTTATCAAAATGTGCAACGCTTTGCAAATGTGCGAAATGTGCTTTGACTATAAAACATAGGCGCACAAGGACACTGCACATTTCGGGTTCCCTTGATCGCGGAGCGTCTTGGTCGCGCACACTGCAGTAGCCCTCCGTTTGCAGCGTCAAGGACACCACGGTGCACGGTCTTCAAATCCCACTTCAGCGTCGAAGAGGATGTGTGTTTGCAAAGCAGTAGAAATGAACAGAGCAACGATGATGCTATTAACGTTTGACTCTGCCCTCTTTCCTGTAGGTGGTGGTGAAAACCAAGACGGACTATGATGGTACCCACAAGAAAGGCAAATTTCGTTCCCCCAAAATTGCCGAATTCACAATAAGCATCATCGAAGGCGTGTCTGAACGGCTTAAAGTAAGATATGATTGTGTTTTCAGAAATCCATGTTTTTAACACTGGAACAATAGGCTTCAGAAAATAGTGAGGTAAAATTCTTGGGTGATTATCTTTAAAGGAAATGTCAAAGACAGGCAGTTTTCACAACAGTAGCGGAAAAAGGTTGTGCATTTATTTGGATGCAAATATGGAGTTTCTTTTCCGATCCGTTGCACCAAACACGGGAACCCCTGCTGCTGGGTTGCTAGGTTGTGTTGCCAGGTAACCAAAGGAGCTGAGGGTTGTAGAGGAGGGGCTGGATGTCTGGAAGAGAGGTGGAAATGGCAGGTCTTCCTCCTGGGCTTTGAGGAGGTGCTACCGGATGTCCCATCATGGAATCCTAGTGGGTATGATGGTGGGAGGGAGATTATGGGGGAGGTGGAGATGATGGGTGGGGCTGCGATTTCTCATTAGACACGTGTCACACAGCCATTACGGTGACAGCTGTGTCCCCTGTACCGTGATGATTGGCTTTTCAGGTTGAGCCTTTAATGAGCGGTATCTGGAAACGCTGGACACCCACCTTCTCCCAGTACAACCTGCCACCTCTCCCACTCGGTGTCCACAGTGGCGAGTCATTCGCGTGGTAAAACAAACAGGCTTAGAATAAACTACACCCCCTCAGCGGCTGTGATCCTCCTTTGAATGGCCAAGGCAAGAACTGGCCATCAGACTGTTCTCCAGTCTGATTTCTCCGCCCATTCAGCCCGCTGTGGACAATGATGTTTGCTGACCTTTGCTTTGCTGCCATGAGATTGGCGTCTGCTCTGCATTTGCCCCTCTTGGGCCCAAACAAAAATAATGCTGCAGTTTAGCTCAAATGAGTGCACCTGCTGACGTGTTAGTAGTTTTATGCAAATCATTCTTGAAATTGATTTATTAAGCATTTCAATGTAAATTTGTTTAGATGATATGTATGTCACTGAGATTGTTGTGGTGAATGTGATTTTGCAGAAGATTGGGTTACAGTAGCCTTGCATTTACTTCTGGTTAAGATACCAGCAATGCTGAGGAATGTGAGCCTTCCTGCAGAAAGGACAAACAGGTGCTTCTCCCGGCACAGTGGCTAAGTATCGGGCAGGCCTCGTCAGGGCTGTGTGATCACAGGAAATGCTGCAGCCCCCTGAGTCCATGCAGCAGCTCGCTTTGTTGCCAGTGGAGATTTTTTAGGAAGGACATGGCTAATGTTGTGGGTCACTCTGTCTCCGCCCACGTCCCCTTCAGAGCTTTTTATTGGAGGAGATGTTCAGGACACACCCCTTCCATCCCTCACCCAAACCCCCCCCCCCATTGTTCCTACCGGCACACCATGGCTCATGGTAGGGAGAGTTCAAGGAGGATGCACCAGGAATTATCCCGTCAAACCCACCTGTCATTTTTGCTTTGGCCACTAGCTATCAGGTGCCCCAGCGGGCAGGCAAACCCCAAACCGCTGTTTATTCCCGACAGATGTGGCTATCAGCTCAAAAGGGAGCCATCACATTACATCTATTCACCTACACATCCTTCTGTGAGTCAGGAAGCGTCTGGAGCTCAGAGAGTGTTAGTAACAGTAAAAGGTAGTCATTTACTTTACAGGCATTAATATATTCACAGTGACCTGGGGATTGCAGCAAAGTGAAGATCCAGAGGGAGAGATCTGTACCTGTCAAGTCAGACTAAAAGCATGTCTGACTGCCTTTTGTTCCCTGTTGGTTGTGTCAGCGGCTGAATAAGAATCAAGGAGAATCCCGTGTCTCTCTGTACTGTTCCACAAGTAAGGGAGAAAAGGCAGAAAAGCCGGCGCAGAATGACATGTCGAGGTTCCTCTGGTTATAGTCAGCAGCTGAGAATTCCAGCTGGAGCCTCAAATCTATGGGTGTTCATGTGAAAGACGTTACAGCTGATGCCGTTGTCAAAAGCCTACAGGAGAGGGAAGCTTGGAGTCCCAGTACAGGGTCAGCTGGCTGAGGGCTCAACAGACATACCATTATCCTTACAGGATTAAAACCCACAGCCCGCTGAGCTACACACCACCGATGCAACGTGTAACATGCTTGTGGTGGAACTGGTTGAGGCTGTCTGTACGTGTTAAACCTGGTCTGTAGGTCACTTGGGTAGTAAATGCCCAAGATCCAGGAGATGATCAACCAGATAGTCACCCGATCCAGTTTATTCTGCAGTTTTTTGGTTCAGTCAAGGAATTAACAAAATGGATTAATGGGAACCTCCCATTCTGACATTTGTTTTTCTAGTGAGTTTTTCTTAAGCGGAGCAACACTTTATTTAGGTATGATGAGGACTGAAGGTGCCTTTTCCAGGTTAAACGCAGAGCTAAATACACTGGCGCTCTCCCTGTGCGCATCAGGTTTTTTGTCCCAGATTATTTATTTGCTTAGTCAGTGCCTTTTGCCGGCTTGCTAATAGCTCAACCATTTAATCCTGCTGGGTGTTGTAAGTACATTTAGATGGAGCTAAGCGTGCCGTCTGGGTCCTGATCAGTCCTTATCTCCGCAGCTAGATTCAGACTCTGTTCCGAATAAGCCCTGTAGGCAACCGCTGTGGAGCAGGATGACAGCCTGGGCTCAGTTGTGAAATTGACTATAAAAGCACGTTTCCACGGGCACTACCAGACGATTGCTGCGCTGATCCGCGGAAGCATTTTTTATAATTCCTGCAATCACCCTGAGTTCATGTAGGAATTGGGGAATAAGGACGAACGCACGGACAGAAGATTACAGCGGGATGGTGTTTGCCTGGGAACGAGACCGCAAACACCGTTCTTGCCAAACGAAAAATGCAGATGAAGCATAAAGACATTTTCCTTCCGTAACGTACCCCAGACCCTTTTGCGCATGGAAACATGTTTATTGTTAAAGGAAAAATGCTGACTTGTAACGACTTTGTAAGGGTTTTTCTGTTCGCTTTCATGATAATGCTTATAAAATATTTATAATCATAAAGACAAGCTTCTTTACTGGTTTAAGTGTGTCATTGCAGTCGCTTTCGTTATGCCGCTATATTAACTCAGACCATTAGTATGATTACCCATAATTGTCTGGGTAAGCAGGCTCTTCAACATTTGCGAAGTGAGTGCATTTTAACAAAAACAGAAGCACTAAACATCAACAACGGAAATATTTATCTGGCATCCCCTAATTTATGTCCACAAGCATCTTCCCACTGAATGTTTTTTTTTTTTTTTAAGAATTACATGTACTGGGCTGCCATCCATCATGGCAATTTAATCATTGCTGCTGCAATCTAATCTAATAAAGTGTTGGCGCCATCTAGTGCTGCACACATGTTGCAGCCAGAAACCTTTTCTGTATTTCATTTATTTATTACATGTAATCTGTAAAGGCTGATGATTTTTTTCATTTTCTCAAGTTTGAGTGCTAACTGGAATGGTTCCTTTGTGGGGGTGTGTTTCTGTTTCGCTGTCAGGTCACCCTGCTAGTGATCTGCGCGCTGGCGTTTCTGGTTTGTGTCGTGTTCCTGGTGGTCTACAAAGTGTACCAGTACGAGCAGCCGTGCCCCGAGGGATTCATGTACACGGTATGTACACCCCCGTCCTGCTTCAACACTGACTGGGGGGGGGGGCATCCTGGTGGTGCCAACCATACTTCGGGGGCCCTGTTCCGAATCCCTGCCCCCTACAGGGATTAGGTGTAGAACAGAAAGGTCTGAGCGGAGCCAGAAATGCCAAGAAGTGTAGCAAACGAGCCCCACTGAAGGCATGTGTCAGAACAAGGGCGCCATTGGGCCAAGATCCTGATTTTCAGGACGGGGTTTCACCGGGAAACTGAGCAGCACGTGTCCGTGACAGACGTGATGGGGGGCCGCGGGGGCCTTTTGTGTCCCCAGAAGGTGGCATCCCTGCAAAGAAACCCACCTTAAACTGAAAGTATCATTTCCAAAGCCAGGCAGCGTGCGGCCATTTCAGAACCGAAGGGGTGACGTACAGAAGAGGCTCTGATCTCCCTGACGACTCCACTGGCCCCCGCGGGGCTTGGCCCGGCTCTCAGTGGAGCCATTTAGACCTCGCAGGTTCTGTCCAGATCGACCTGCTGCCAGCAGACAAGGGACTCTAAAGACAGACTGTGTCCGGCGCCGAAAGAGGATGGCTCCGCACACTGTGCACCGTAGGCCTGGATGGGCTCCCGGGCCCTGCCGGGTCGTACCGTATCGAGTGCTTTCGGGCCATGTTGAGGGGGAGGCCGCTGACTGTGTTCCTGCTGGCAGCGTTAATCCGCATGGCTTGTCTCTCTCACCCCCCCTCCCCCTCCCCCTCACAGTTCACACAGATACTGCCACAAGGTGGTAATGGCTCTGTCTTTTTCTGCCTGGGTTCCAAATGACTCATTTTTGAGAAGGTGGGGTGCACTGACATCTTATTCCTGGGCTTTATTTTCTGACACCCACATCCCAAGCCCCGTCCTCGGGGTGCAGAAACGTCGTGCAGCGTGATGGCCTGCCCTTCGATCACGGGCGTGTGAGGCACACTGACCCTAATGCCCTGTTGGGCCGGGGTCGGACATACGGTGTGATGGCCTGCCCTTCGATCACGGGCGTCTGAGGCACACTGACCCTAATGCCCTGTTGGGCCGGGGTCGGTCATACTGTGTGATGGCCTGCCCTTCGATCACGGGCGTCTGAGGCACACTGACCCTAATGCCCTGTTGGGCCGGGGTCGGTCATACGGTGTGATGGCCTGCCCTTCGATCACGGGCGAGTAGCATACTGTCGAGCTGACAGACTGTCTCTCCCCCCCTTCCTCTGCAGCAGGGACGCTGCATGCCAGCCGGGGTGTACAGCTACTACCCCCCCCAGGGGCCCGGGGGCCGTGGCCGGCTCTTCACCATCATCAACCACTACAACGTGGCCAAGCAGACCATCACCCGCTCCGTCTCGCCCTGGATGACCGTAATGTCTGAGGAGAAGGTCTCCCAGCAGGAGATGGAGACGTCCCAGAAGCTGGCCTAGGAGATCCCACAGGCAGACCCCCCCCAACACACACACACACACACACACACACACACAGACAGATATACAAAAAATGACCAATGCATGATGCTAACTCACACACAACACACCCAAGTGCACACACTGAAATACACTCTCCTCTCCATACAGAGTAAGACACCCAAACACACTTGACTATGGATATGTCCACCTCCTGTCACACTTAAGCCATCACAAACACGCGCACACACACAGGTCCCGAGTTTCCTTCAGGCAATCCAGCAGTACACTGAGTCTGAAAGGAGCTTCATCTTCATAGAGCAGCCGAGAACTTCCTCAGTACTGCATCTGTTGACCTATGTTCTACATTATATGGTTTATGGTTTTACTTTCACACATTACCCACAATGCACCATAAGCCAACACACTACCGACTTTCCACACCATGTAGGTCGGGATTCTTGGGGCTTGTAGTGATAGCTCATCATTAAGTATCATCATCCAGCCCTCCAAGGGTACCTCCATACTTCCCTTGAGGTCCAAAACCCCAGTTTCAAAAGTCATTTGACTTCACCTACTCAGGTGTCTGCACTGCCCACATCCATTAGCGCCCCTCACAGACATCATGAGGTACTACAGCTATAAGCTTTATCATGTTGTCTGCCTTTAGTGAAAGGGTCGCAAGCCCTCCACCCCCTCCTTTGGGTGGAGCCCAGAGCCTATGGCATGTCCACCAAGCTTACCAGGCGTACATACATGCTAATCTGCTCGCTTGGGAATTAGCTGCCAGCTTTGAGTTTCCTTGACCGTTAGCTTCTTCGTCACTATTCATTTCAAAGCCTCACCTGCTCACCAGACCTCGCACAGCCACCCTGGGAGTACCCCCACCCCTCTCCAAACAGGCCTGTACTTTTAGCCATCACACCATTCCTGTCATCTCAGGCTCCTTCCAAACGGTTGGTCTGTCTGCAACCCTTGCTTACAAAATGGGGGGAGAGAATCGACTTAGCTTTCCTGTTCGTATTATAATAAAAGATTTTAAGCAAGCATTGAGATATTTTTCAGTTTAGACTAAAAAAAAAGAAAAAATTGCATATTTCACATAATTGTCTAAAAAGTATCTTTGTGGCATGTTTTGGGTGGAGGAAATCAAGTGATTATAGAGTATATTTTGTTGCAAAGGTCTGGAGAAGTCGGTAAAGATGGTGATTTCACTGGCAAACATAAATAAAGTTAAATAAAGATTGAGTGAAAACCTGCAGGGTCATCGCTTGTCTGCCAACTGTGATGAGAGTGATGTGCGTAGGCACCTTGCACACAGCACTGCACATCAGCTGTGATGAGAGTGATGTGCATAGGCACCTTGCACACAGCACTGCACATCAGCTGTGATGAGAGTGATGTGCATAGGCACCTTGCACACAGCACATCAGCTGTGATGAGAGTGATGTGCATAAGCACCTTGCACACAACACTGTGCACATCAGCTGTACTATGGTGTGTTTTCTGTTATCACTTCTTATACCCCTAATTGTCCCTGGCCACGATTTCCTGCCACATTGGTGTTGCCCGAAAATGCTGTTACAATTGGCCAGTGGGTTCTGCCTCCATGAATTCAACCAACTGCAAATTCAAAACATTGATGAAAAAAAATTCCATCAAGTTCCAAAAAGCAAAACTTGAACTTTCCGCCCACCAAGCAGTACACTGAATCGAAGAGGATGATGTATAGTTTTGGATGTTGGTGAATGTTAACAGCGTGTGTGTGAGAGCGAATGGATTTATACATTCTTTCATTACATTTTCTAGATGTACTGTGATATAGGAGTGATATTGCATAGGAGTTTGGCGTCTGTATTGAACATTTGTACTTTTTCTTTTCATTATTCCCTTAACAATAGAGTGTAACAGCTATTTATATAGCATTTACATTGTATTATGTATTATAAGTAATAGAAGTAATATAGAGATGATTTAAATTATATGGGAGGATTTGTGAAAATCCGTGGAGTTTGGCATCTGCAGGGGATCATGGAACCAATTCCTCGCAGATATGGAGGACCGACTGTATACTCTAGTGTGTCATGAGTACACAGACAAAAGCCATTTTTCTCAACATGAAGTTTAGTCTGGTTTTGGACTGACTATGTGTATGGGTACAAAGTCGCAACTCACCACAAACACACCAACCAACTGCACACTAGGGCAATTATCTATTTCCTGCTGTTCAAGCAGATGTTTTAATATCTTTCCTCACAAATTCACAGCTTTCCTTTTTTTAAGTGACAGAATGAATCACACAATATTCTCCTCGATATCAAAGCAGCAGCCGTGCGTGACTGTTACTCATTGCAATCTCATAAGCAGTCACTTGGACTTCAGGAGTCGTGGTTTAATTATCTTAACCAGCGGCAAATTATTGCATAGGCCACCCTAGGCCATAGACCAGGACCCCGACAAACACTGAGGTCCTGCCCCAGGAAAAGTGGAACAGTTGGATGAATTGGCAACACATGAATGTCGAGGTTGATATCAGTCTAGGGCCCCCTGATTTTCAGGCTAGGTTACATCATGCTGATCCCACCCACAGACAAATCCCAGCGTGTTCCCAAGACGATAACAAAGATAATGATAAAGACAGCTTCCCAAATACTAACAGGGGCACATCTTCCAGGCTCCCGAGTGTCAGTGGATAACCTAGAACTCAGAGTCTTCAAAGTGTTAAAAGACCAGTCAGTCAGTCAGTCACTGAATAAATCAGACACATTTATTCCCAAAGTGTGAAGCGCTATGCCAGCCTGGCTGAACATTATTGAGAGGCTCGCCATACAGCTCAGGTAACAAGGGCTTTACAGTTAACATGACACCATCAAGGCACCCTTTATGTAGAGCCAGTCATCCCCACGGAAGACCGACATTCTCATCTTAGTGTGAAGCAGAGCATGGAATCACAGACAAAATAACACAATACAGACTCCCCGATGGGTTATGCTCTTTCTGTAATGAATCTGTAAAACAGAGACGGAGGACAAGGAGAGACCAGGGTAGGAAAAGCCAAGACGTCAAGGACTAGACTTCCTTTTGGGGTGGGGTAGTTCTAGGAAAGGCAGAGTGGAGCTTCAACCAATGGCCTACTGTCATGGGACCAGACTGTCAGGGCATCCATGTGCTGTTGCACTGCTTGTGATGGGCTAGCTGTCGTACCAGTCCAGGAAGAGCAGTGAGAAGGAACACATGACAAGGAAGAAGAGGATCCACACGCGGAACCCGGCATTGTTCTTGATGGCCTGATGTGGAAGACAAACGGCGCATGCTTGTGTACAAGGACCACACAAATCAAGGAAATAAGACAACGCATGAGCTCAACACACAGTAATAGGACACTGAACCAGTTGGGAATTACCTCTCTAATGTCCTCATTCCCTTCTTTGACATTTTCTGTGGCTCCTACAACAAGCTGGTGGATGTTATCTATCTCTGTTTCCTGGAGCAGGCAAAGAAATACAGTGTGGAGTCAGATGGGTGGGGGGCACATCCACATTCCCACACAAATCCTAATCTGAGATGTCCACAGCGGTGTTTAATTACACCCTCTCTGCAGGTTTACCTCTAGAGACGCATTCCTAATTTTAGTGCCTACCACTGATTGGAGAGACTCAGCAGGTGGGAGGAGCTTACCTGCTGCAGGACCTTTTCAGCAAAAATCTCCTGGAGCCGAGAGATCTCCACCACTTTGCCCTCGATCTTCCTGCATTGGGTGGGGGTCAGGAGACATGGTAAATGGCTCCCAAGATACACTGCTAGAGCTAAGGCTAGTCCATCCATCCATCCATCCATCCATCCATCCATCTTCTATACCTACTTGTCCAATGCAGAGTAGCAGGGGTCTGGAGTATATCAAGGAAGTTACGGGTGCAAGATAGGGAATAACCCAGGCTGGGGCATCACACCCATCGCCGGCCAGGGCTAGTCACCATTTAATCAAGTGGCTGCATTTAAGTGTGCGTTCAACAACGTCCTTTGATCTTGTGTGACCAGAGCCTAGGAAACCTACACATCCAATATTTTTCTTTTGTAAAGAGGTAACTGAATTCTTCACTGCCATATTTCAGGCTCAGAAACCCCTCCAGCCTCTCCTCACGCCCTGCTTCACAGCCCTATCCATTTACTAGCCACTTGTAAACAGGTATCCTAGCAACAGGGGGCTCTAAATAAGGCAGATGAAGCGAGTGCTGATGAAGGACACACGATTCGCAGGAAGCAGAGCTACTGTCTCACGACCCAGAGACATTTCTCAAACAGAGACATTTTAAACAAAAGAGACACTTCAATGTCAATGACCTTTAGTCCATAACCTACCTCACGTCATCCACCAGGTTGCTCATCTCACTAACTAGTCTCTGGTTCTCCTGTTCAAACTGCAAGACAGATGTGGGGAACAGAGGATCAGTCAGACCAGAACAGTGTCGCATGGGCACATAGAGGGGCAAGAAGGTGAAAAACTGGGTTTAATCAAGTCATACTCACATCAAAAGGTAATTTCATTTAATCAATTTAATTTATTCATTTAACTGAAGCTTTTGTCTAAAGTGACTTGCAGTACCGGGAAGGGTTACGGTTTCTATCTACTCCACAACCTTTGCGTTGTTGGCACAATGCTCTACTTCTTAAGGTACTGGAGCATTTGCTATAACGTTTACAGGCTATGCTTTTCACACAATCTAGGCTCATGTGGGAATACTGAGGACAGGTGAGGCTACATCTGCACTGAGAATGAGCTCGTCAGGCTGGGGATGGGGTTCTGGGGGAACCTCACACCACCCACATGCAGGTGAGGCTACATCAGCACTGAGAATGAGCTCGTCAGGCTGGGGATGGGGTTCTGGGGGAACCTCACACCACCCACATGCAGGTGAGGCTAGATCTGCACTGAGAATGAGCTCGTCAGGCTGGGGATGGGGTTCTGGGGGAACCTCACACCACCCACATGCAGGTGAGGCTACATCAGCACTGAGAATGGCATGAGTGTCTAACACCCTCAATATTGCAGGTTAAGGTTGAAAAGCAATCAATGAAGGCAGTAATTAGTCGACCATAGTGCTGTTTTACCAAGAACATGGATGCATAGATACCCAGTACTGCATGGATCAAGGACCAATCAGTGGGTTCTACATGACCTTCTAAATGGAGAATAGAGATGGAGTTATGATGTAGAAGATACTGGGAGTTTATGATTACCCACCATCTGAATTTCCTCTGGTGACAGCTCATCCTCCACTTTGGCCTCCTCCCAGGTGCTGACACTGTCCTCCGCAACCTCTGACACTACCTTTTCTGCAACCAGAGTGACATGCGCATGAACCAATCACACGTCAGCTCTCTGCTGGGCATTCATGTAGCTCTTTTCTGGATCCGATACTAATCTCTCTCTTAAAGCAAATCGTCTTACGATAATCTTCTTCTTATAATCATAATGCAGATGCTCAGAAGCATTTTTACACAGTTCCTAGTATTACCCTTTCCCATCCCCTGACTTTTAATAACTGAATCATATTTCCTGATATGATTCAGATCCAGTGGACCAACATCAGCATCCCTACTGAAACTATAAATGAGATCCTCAAACTTATTTGTTAAAAACTCAGTGTAAAACTCCCACCCATATATGCGAGAGTCAGTCAGGGAGACAGAACCAGGTTCGTTCATAAGCTCTTTAATGATTAATGATCTTGGTATGTACTGCCTGCACTGAAGCATGAAGATAATGACACAAATCTCTGCTCAATGTCTTCCTCGAGTCTGCCCACCTTCTGCAGCTCCTACTCACCGCTGGTCTCCTCCTTCGGCTCCTTCTCCTCCTCCGTCTTCTCTGCGACGGGGTTCTGCTGCGTGCTGCTCCTGCTGTGCTGCTCGGGCTCCAAGCGCGAGCTGTAGGGTGTCAGCCATGTTCTTTAGTGCCCTCTGGGAGGAGGCTACAGAATGGTGTCTGGATGCAGATGGTACTTACAGCCTCTTCCTGTCCACGACCCTCTTCACTCGGATTGCTCTCTGCTCTGAGTACAGCTTGCATATACCTGCAAACACCAGAACAGCTCAAGATGGAAGGATCAGATACAGAAAGAAAGCAGAAAACTCCAGGACAGTCTGTTCTAACCATTGAGCAGTTACTCTGAGACTTGTTCATGTTAACTGGATTCCTCAGGGCACTGGAAGATGTTGGGGCCTTATATCCCATGATCTAGTGACCCAGTCATTAGACATACTTCTCATTAGTTTTACTTAAAGCTCTGTAAGAGTTTGGGTGCGGAGCAAACTGAGCTGGGAATGCCAACTAAGAATATCCCAAACGGAAGCTTTAACAATAGCTACAACTTAGAACCACTTTTGCAAAAAACCCCCACTGGCTAGACTGTGCAAGTGAATTATACAACATAACCCTCACACATAACCCCAGAATTCACTGAAATCACATAATGCTACTGTGGCCAGAACGGGTCACAACACATGGAGGCAATTTATGAGAAACCAGGACAACAGCAGGGATGATGCCCACTGCTGTGGGGCATCACCTGCCACTGCAGCAAGCCCATCCAGATCCGAGTGAGCAGGTTTCAGATGGCCACTGAAACATGGCCCGGTTTACCTCCAAAATCGACACCAAAGAACTTGTCACCAGGCTTGACCATATGGAATGGCCCATCATACGTTGCCTGCAGAGGCCCATGATGAGCATCATGTTGCATAAACATATAACCCACACCCCACAAAGAGGAAGGGATGTGGGACTGAGGCAAAACATTCTCTAACGTGGGCAAACGTCTTGGTGCTATCCAGCAAGGCAAAATGTTACTGACTGGTGGACCACAGGCAACTAATTGAAGGCAGAAAACACCAGGTCCCCTCAGGGCTTGTCTGTAGACCTGTTCAGCCGAGAAGGACCGAAGGTTGACCTTGGGAGCCATGCTGAGGCCCAGCAAGACCCACGGGAGCCAGTCTGTCCAGCCATCATTGCAGAGGCAAGCCTGGAGCACAGCCTTCCATGTGCAGTGGATGTGCACGCACAGCCCATGGGATTGGGGATAAGAACCTGTGGTGCTGTGAAGCCAGACCCCCAGGCTATGGGTGATGGCATTCCAAAGCTCATATGCAAGTTCCTCAGTCAACCTTAAAGACAGTGGGGAAAGCTTTGAGCCACCTGGTGGTCCTGTTGACAACCATCAGGAGGTGAGGAACCCTGTGAGAGCTGGGAAGGGGTCCCACCAGGTCCACATGTACCTGGTCGAAATGCCATTCAAGCACATTGAATGGTGCCAAATGTGCTGTGACATGCTACTGCAGCTTTGCTTGCTGACAGACCATGCAGGCACTGCCAGAAGTCCACCTGTCTATCTTGAGTCCATGCCAGACAATCTTGGATGGCACTAACTGCAGCGATTCCCTCATGCCCGAATGAAAAAGGCCACACATACACAGTGACAAACACACACTTACGCCAGCCCGCCGAGATAATAGACTAAGGATGACCCATCAAGATACCCACATCACTAAAAAGAACATCCTTAAACTCAGACCTGTCAGAGACTTGGTCAGCCACCATTTGAGCATAGTCGATGCCAAAACGGATGGCGCCAGCCACCGAACGCAAGAGACAGTCAGCTACCTGGTTATACTGGATATCTGTTGTGAGCTGCGAAAAAGGACAGACGACACTATTGACAGGCAGATCAGTTTCAGTTATGGCAAAGGTCAATGGCTTATGGTCAACAAAGGTGGTGAAAGGACAACCCTCCAGACTAAAGAGCTTGTGGTCAAACGTGCTATACATGCGTTCATTCGGGTGGAGTTGTCGGCTAAAGAATGGAAGGGCCTGCCAAATTCCATCATCCAGTTGCTCATGCACAGTACCCACTGCATAGTCTGAAGCATCACTGGTGAAGATGATCAGAACATCAAGAAGAGGATGTGCAAACATAGTTGTATTTGTGAATGCTTTGGATGTCTTCTCTGACCACTAGACAATGTGTGTGGCTGCTTTACCATTGAGGGTATCATAAAGAAGAACCATAAGCTGAGCAGCCAGCGAAATTGATGGTAAAAGTTGTAGGACTGCAGTGCCCAAAAAACTCCTGTAGCCCACTGTCCATGACAAGTTATGGCTTTTACCTTAGTGGACAGATGGACTGCACCACCCCTATGGAGACCGAGGATGTTGATGATATCCAGCCCTAACTTACATTAGGAAGGACTTATGATCAACAAATTGCTGAAGGAGGCATAGCAGATGCTCCACCTTGGTGGCACTGGCCACCAGAATATCATCCAAATACACAAGAAGGAATGGCAGGTCTGGCAGCACACTGTCCATGAGGCACTGGAATGTCTGAGCAGCGTTTCTGAGCACGAAAGGCACACAGAAAAACTCACAAAGCCTAAAGGGGGGATCCTGTTTTTCCGACTAGAGGGGTAGAAAAATCCTGAATGTGAGGAACATCGACATGATGATAGTCACCACACAGGAGCCACCTGGCTTCTGCATTATGCACAGTGGCTGTAGGACCTCCAAACAATTCCATAGTGCTCTAGTGTTGAACCTGGCCTTAGTGCAAGCCAGCTTTGCTGGGTCCAGGTGTCCGGCACAGGCGTGGATGGGCAGTTCGAGTGTAGTTATACGAGACCTGGAGGTAATGGATGTGAAAGTGGACTTAGGCAGGTCTCCGAACTCAGGTGATGATACTGGCTAACTTCTAATAATCAGCCCCACTGCACAAGCATGGAAGCGAAGGGAAAGTCTCGGTACTGATGAGACACCAGTTCTTAATATCCACCAGAAGGATCACAAATCCTGAAGAGAAAACAGGGCTGGGGATTGTCAAAGAAAGACAGCATGTGATCCATCAGTTCTGAGTCATCCACACCTGGAAAAGAGAGTCCCTTGTGGGCAGGTTCAGTGCTGAAGTGTTTTCAAAACCCCATACTGGTTATGAGCTGGGGTTTCTAAAGGAGACTCACCTCAACGGTAGCAGTAGAGGTGTCAGCACAACAGCACAGTAATACACATTGTGGTCCAGAGAATTAGGGTGAAGCCACAAACTAAGCCTGTTTTTGTACAAACCAGACCACAGCATTGCAGCACCAAAAGTTGACAATGAGTGTGACCATACTGTGCACGCAGCTAGAAACACTTTATAAACATCCAAAGAGTTCACCAGGGTACAATAACCGCTACAGCCTAAATGTCACCAGAAAAAGCAAGGACACCCAAGAAAACACCCCAAACCCTTCAATCCCCTGCAGTAGGCCACACTTCAAGAGCTAAAGGGAAGCGCTCACCCACCTTTCAGGTACTCCTCAATCAGGTTCAGAATGGCTCCCCTGTGTTCCTTCACCTGGGTGGAGATGACGTTCTTCTCAGCTGTGGGCCACAGACACATGCAGACATTATGTGAGCTCCTCTCTATGAGAACATGCATGGAGCTTTAACAGCCGGGGTACGGGGTGCGCACTCACCCTCTGCTCGGAGCTGCTTGATAGCGTCCGAGCACGTCCGCATGAAGATCTGAGCGTCCTGGTCGATCTGGTCCCGCTCTGTGTCCGTCATCCATGACACACTAGAGGAGACGAGGCTGTGGAGCAACAATGAGAAGCTCAGTAGATCTGAGCAGGAAGATGAAATTTCTACTTCAACATGTGTTTTAAGCCTAGTTCATACTTGTCCACATGACTTTATGGTCCGTGTATGGCCGTGCACACTGACTTACTCTACAATTTTCCATGTGAGCAGATGATCCAGGTTGGCACATGTATACTGCAATGATATAACACCAGACCAACAGACTATCCATTCCTTGCACAAGTACAGTCTAAATGTATTGTCATGCAAAAAGTCCACTTAGACCAAAATCTGGGCTGTACAAGCCTCTTATGAAAACAATTATATCACATGCACTGTGTGGGGACCATAATGGGATGCAGTCTAGTGAAGTAAGAATTAGGCTTTAGAAGACACTGGTGAGGTCATACGGGAGTCTGTCTCCATCTAGTGGTATTAGGAATAACTGCATAACTCTATCTTGGCTTCTGGAGTTTGAATTTGTCTTGTATTGTTAAGCGAATGGCAAGATATAAAAGCTATCTGTAGTGATAAAAATGGCTCATGCTTTGTCAAACAAGTTACAACAAACAAGTTCTGACCAGTCCTCATCAGATGTGTTAAATGTTTGTTTATTCCCACACAAAAAAAACAAACACTGACCATAGGAAACCCCGTCAGGGCTTTGAAGTTCTCCAAAGATGAAAAGCTACTACAAGATCCTTGAAGAAATGCAAGATAAAAGGCCATCCCTCTAATGAGAGCTAATCTCCAGCTTGCCACAGGCTGCACTCGCCTTAGGGGAGATTCTCTAAGCTCAATTAAGCCATGCAGAGGCCCTCATGATTTAAGACTCCTGTCACTGGCGAGCCGTCTCAGCAAGGCAGGCGAGGCACATCCACAGAGGGTCTCAGACAGGATGCCTGGGCTCAGAACTTGCATTGGTTGATTCTGCACAATTGGGCTAAGACTTGAGCCACCCAACCTCTAGTCCCTTAAGTGCAGTAGCTCTGGAACCCTTAGTGTTAGAACAGCAGACCCTACCTGTCGGCGTTCACATAATCCTTCCTGTGCTGCAACAGGAAGTCCTTCAGCTTTGTGATGTTGGAGATCTGGGAAAGAGGAGATCAAGGGGACGGTCAAGGCCCAGAGCATTCGACTTACAAACCTCACCCTACCAAACCGCAGTCCTACAGGATAAATATCGCCCCCACCAGCCTCTTAGCCAGCAGGCCACGTCTTCAATGGGTTATTTCTGCAGCTCGGGGCTATTTGTCAGCTAATTCGACATAATCACACGTTAATACTCATAATGAGACTAGCTATTAAAAGTGGACACCGCGTTTCATCCTGGGTACAGCTAAACAAACACCCCGACGCCTCATCCGGGAACTATTCCACATGACGTACAGCAGATTAAAAGCTTACGCACGGCTCACCGAAATGCAGAGTGGCGGTTTAGCAGAATCTGGCAATGGCGACTGTGTATGTGTGTATGTGTCTGTGTCTGTGTTGGGGGAAGGGGTAAAATAAACAGCAAGGAGGGTTTCATTATGGGATGTTATGGTGGCTCAAATGAAACCGGGGCTGATTAAAGCTGAACATGTATTTTGGGCTCAGTGGCTTGGTCACAGGAAGCATTCGGCATGCCGGTGTTTACTTGTGTAATTTGGCGTGTGTCGGCTTATAGCTCCAGAGGGAGAAGTTTGCGTGGTGTGAGAACAAACAATCAAAAACCAGCAGAAAACACATCACAATGAGCCCGTCTGTGGCCTAGAATGGCTGGGAATATTTTTAGTCAGGAACAAGCCCACCCCCCACCCCTTAATTACAGTAATTACTAAATTACTGGAGCTGTAAGGCTGTAACCAGGGTCTCCTAACTGCACACATATTTCTCAGACTGTGGGAATGGCAGAGGTGTCCATGATGACGGCGGCAACTGGCGAGCCCTATTGCCAACACCACCCTCAGATTGGACCGGGGAAAGTTTAACGGAATGGGCTGGGTACCGCAGACTGGCATGCTTCAAAACAGGCCAGAATACGATACTGAAGTGTCCGGACTTCAGTAGAGAGCTGAAAGACACTGGAGGGCACTAGTGCTGATGAAAGGGGCCTGGATGAGTGGCCTGCTTCAGGAACACAGCCTGAGCAGACTGATCAGGGGCCGACCCAACACGACATCCAGGCCGAGGAAGAACCACTAAGGGAAACTATCGGCTAATGCTAAACTTCCAGATGAAGAGCTGATTCTGTCAATACGTTAAGGCACCATGTGCAGACAGTTATCAGAATTCACGTCCACCTACCATAGATCGTTATTAAACTCAACCACTAACCCTCTCTTGTCTTTGGTTGAGCTAAATGTGCCCAGATCATCCCTATTCGACTTACTTCAGCCTCCACACTGCAAGACAGCCATCGTCCAGCAGGTGGTGCTACTTCCTCAGCATTGGTTCCACGGGCCCTGTGAAGGGGAGCTGATCTACCTCCTGTGGGTATACATTTAGGCTCAGATTCCCACTGCTGCCAAGAGGGCTTTGTATGAGGTCACTGGGATCAATTGCTCTTGTAATTTAACACCCTAAAGAGCAAGTAATACCCAAACAATGAGGTAGGGGTGGCCTTGTGCACATGAGGAGGGGTCTGTGGAAGGGTGCATGGGGTGGGGTCTGAGACTGCAGGAGACAGTCAGCCTGGCTACATCTAATCTCATCATCTGCACCCCGCCAAACCCCCTTTACCTTTTCACTTTCTGTTTCAGATCAGCAAATCACGCATAAACAAAATGGCAGGGAGTCAAAGCCTTTGGGGACGGTGGGGGGCAGATATTATTATGAAAATAAAAGGGATAAAATTAGATGAAGGGCTTTAAAGCCCGGCCTGGCAACCTGGCTATCGGGGGCATTTTTGGGAGAACAAGTAATTCAAAGGCTCTGATAAGGATCGTAAGAGCAGAGTTTCAGTAATAAGGCACGACTCTGAGAGACGCTTTTAGAGTCCTGATGATTCCCCCCCCACCCCACCCCCCCTCTCTCTACCTGAGCCGGACTTGCCTGTCTGCGGCAGCCTATCAGGCGGGCTTCAACCGCCAGCTCTGCTGTCCTGGGTGACTGTTTTCACGCCTAATGTGCAATCATGTTCAGTTTGGGGGTGGCGTGACGTGGGGGGGGGGGGGTGTCAATATACCATTTGAAGCCACATAAACCTCTCACACGGAAAGTGTGCAACACCATAATTCACTGACTGTAAAACCTGAGTTATTAATGCCAGACTGCAGAGGCTTTCAGCACGGTGGAAATGCATTCCGCATGCAGACCGACGGACTCTGCCCGTACAGAGGGTTATCCATACATCCATACTGTCTACAGCTGAATATATACTGGGGGAGGGCAGGCATATATCACCTCCGGTAATCAACACGGTGGGGACAACTACATTAAATTACACTCCACTAAGAGTTTTCATGTTTCCCGGATCACAACAAAGTGATGAGGGTTTGCGCCCCAAATACAAAGGGGGGCTGGAGGAACCCAGGAGGGAGGGAGGAGGAGAGAGAGAGGGAGAGAGGGGCTGAGGGAGCCGCATAGAGCCGTAATGAAAGCCGGAGCCGCGTGCCTCTGATGGGGGGGGGCACAGTGCGGACGGGGCTCTTAGGCTTAATGCGGTACATAAACTGCAATATTAACCTCACAGTGGAAAACACATTCCTCTGTGTCCTTTTCATGCGGACAGAATCAGACAGGCGTGCGCTTTCTGAGCGACGTGGGTCTCAATTCTGAGCCTGATTTAACATTCTGATGCGGAGAGAATGTCTGAAAAATAAAACCGGGTCTTCAAACGAAAAGCACGACCCCCCCCCCCTGGCATCCTGTTTATCATCTCGTCCAGATCTTCAGTTATTCACACACTAATAAAGAGGGCACTTTTTCCATAAACCACTCGCTGAATGTCAGCATTTCACCTCCCCTGTTCAGAACTTTTATTTGTACCTAAAATAACTAACCTTCAATATACACCGAAGAAAGAGGACAGAGATGTAAAAAGATAGAGAATTGTTATACCTTGTGAATGAAGCCAGCTGAAGGAGTGACGAACGAGGCCTGCACAGCGAGGCCTGCACAGCGAGGCCTGCACAGCGAGGCCTGCACAGCGAGGCCTGCACAGCGAGGCCTGCACAGCGAGGCCTGCACAGCACCTGCAGCACTGGGGGCTTCATCTCAACATCTCCACTGACAAAATGACTACATATTACCAGCCAGTTATTTAACATATCCGTTGACAAAACGCCATACGCTCCTCACACTAACTGACGCTAATGTTATCTAGTTAAGATAATGGAAATACTTTAATGGTGGTATTGAATGTCCTACTCCACGTTTAAAAGGCGCACTTCAAAAGCAGAGTCCATGTTTCCCATTACGGTCTCCAGAACTTGGAAGCTGACTCATCTCTGTGAGGATCAGAAAGGCTCTTGCAGGAAAGAGCAGCCATGATGTGCAGCTGGAACTCTGACAGCTGGAGCCAGAGTATCACACAGCTGCATGGCTGAAGGCTGGTGCCCAAAACAGCTGCCTCACTGCGACACACACAGACACACGCTCTCCCATTCTCTCCATCTCTCCTAAAGGGCAGCTCTCCCAGCAACGTCTCTGAAGTGATCTCCATGAATGTGTGTGTGTGTTTTGTGCTAGATGGCCTCCCCCATCCCCGTGCAACCCACGGCTGAGGGAATTTATGGGCCCTTGGGCTCCATCAACCAAGTCCATCCTTATCAAGAGCCCTCTGCGAACAGTCCAGGGACAACTGTGGAGGCTCCGAGGAAGAGCAAGAATCCTCAAGGGAGCAGACAGGCTCTACTGCAGGTCGCTCCAGCTGTGCGTTTACCCTCACGTCGAGTGGCGTCACAAAAAGCAGGCGCTCCTTACGTGGAGAGAGCCTGGTAGCAACAAAACCTCAGAAATCACTGACAACAGACATGCCAGCAATGCCTCTGCTGCCCCCTTCTGATCGTTTACCATAACGAACCTGCTTACAGTGTATTTGGAAATTATGTTTATTCTCAGCAGACTAAAAGTGCAGTTAAATACAGTGGTGAGGCTCCTGCTCTCATGGCTACAGAACTGCATCCATCTTAATAAAACGATTATCATGCTTCATTAATGCAGGCTGTTTCCCGGCGTGCTAAAGAATGGAAAATAATGCTGCCAAGCTAACGATCAGCTCTTAATTAACTGGAAAGGGAAACTGAATAGAGTGCATATGGCTTATGGCTCGTTCATACTTCACTTTTCCATGTGCATTTTTGGGCTGTGGATGTAAGGAATCTCCGGTTCATACAGATTTCAAAATGCCGTTGAAAATAAACACTATAAAATAAATAAACACTAGTTGCTGTTTTAAATACCCTGCTACCTACCTAACCCTAACCTCTAGTCGACTTCCTTGCATATGCGCAGTCGACGTGCATGGATGCCCATGATCTCCAATTCACAAAAAAAATCTGGGCTGCATGCGCATCTTCCACAGTCATCCAGCGCAAATATAACTAAAGTCATCTCACCTTTTGCGCGACCGAAAGTAGAAGCGGAAAAGTGAAGTATGAAATGGCCGTAAAGGTGGTGTGTCTTTTATTACTGGTGTATGCGATTGCTCCTCCTGACCAGAGGTGGGCGCCGTTATCTCATCCCCAGAACCCTTATTTAACCAGGCTGGAATTTTTAAGCTCCCATTGCATGATGTTTAGAGGCTGTTCCATCCCACAGCTGACTAACAGTGCGGATTCATGGACAGCTGATGATAACAAGAGTGGATGATAGCAAAACAAAAAAGACTAAAATAAGAAGAAAACCAGATAAAAACAACAACAAAAATTGATGTTTTAAAAATCCTGGGAAGAGACCCAGATCCATGCAAGTGCTCTTCTATAAAATGCATCTTAAAACACATGCATATACATATTACACATTTTTTTGTGTTACAGGATTTCATCACTCCATCGCAGACGCGCTAAATTCAGACCCCAAACAGGTTTTAATTCACAAGAGACTAATCCAAGGGATATGGGGTGAAAAATCAGCAGCTCAGTTTAATGCGGGTGGATCCATCTGT